TTTATTTGACAAGTACTTACATAAATTATGCTATCGTCATTATTTGTGAAATTATATTTTTAAATTCCCACTTTGTTACACCAACATATTTTCGTCCTACTTTGTGAAACTATCATCAAAACGTCCGCATCGTTATTCATTGTCATGTACTCGTCGTAACTTGTTATATTTTCCTCTTCAAGCCATTATTTAGCTGCCACTGTATCCTTCGTTATCACCATATTTTACTTACAGCTGTCTATGTGATCTAAATATCTGTTGCTACGTCCACATGTGTGGTACGTCACATCTCTGACGTCACAACTGAAAATTTAGGCCGTGCCCTACTGAAGTTGTAAAGTCAAAAACCACAAACTGACAAACTGATAATACTGATATCCGTGCACTCATACAAAAGCCTTCTCCCCCCCCCCCCACCCCTTATTAAAGTCAATCCCGCCCCCACAATATTCTCTTCATTAATGACAATCTAAGAACAGTAATCCATGCCGACAACATTCATGACTATTCTCCCCTTGTCAGGCCGAGTGCTCTGCCCTGCGCTGGAACGCCATTAATATGTTATAAACTCGGCTAGGAGACAACTCTACCTTCATTGATTTCTAGATTACGTCCCCTTGCGCTGATAGCGTCTAACTTTCCTGTCGCTTCACTGCTGTTTGCCTGCCCTTCTCTAGACAATCATTACGTGGACTCCACGCTAATTGGCCAGCTTAAAAACATCATTAATATTAGACAGTGCGATCGTAATTAGTCACCCCGACCCACATTAACGGGTAATCCCGGAATTCCACACACCGAAATAATTGATAGAGTACCAACGCCTGATAGTAGTTCCAGCCGTATGTACAGTATAAATATTTACTATCAAACTGATGTACTCATACCAGTAATCCTATATACTATCAAACAGATAAACTAGGCGCATTTATACTATCATGGGGTCTCCTATCAGGCAGAACTACTAACACACTAACACTTAAATACTCTCTCTCTCACACACACACACACACACACACACACACACACACACACATATATATATATATATATATATATATATATATATATATATATATATATATATATATATATATATATATATATATATATATATATATATATATATATATATATATATATATATATATATATATATATATATATATATATATATATAGGTGGCAAGGAGAATTTGTGTGAGTATTATTAGGTAATCTTATGTCATTATCTTAATTAACGAATCTATATCAATAACTGTGGTCAAATTCACTTAGATCCATAAAATACAGCAGATCAGCTCTACTTCGCCTGTAAAAAATGTATCCAAACTAAACATTACTTGTCTAGTGCACTCAGATCACATTAGCTTAGTTTTTTAATTAGCCTTTAAACAACTTGACTGAAATTAATTATCTTTTAAGAACTCAAATTAATTAGTTTTTAAACAACTTGACTGAAATTAATTATCTTTTAAAAACTTGACTAAAATTAATTAGCTTTTAAACAACTTGACTGAAATAAACAAACGAACCGACAAATAACTATTTGCTATGTTTTCTAAAGAATTTTTTTGACTACAAGTTACATTAGGTAGATGATAAATGTGTTGTATTTGTTGCGCACAAGATGCCATGCGCATCTCACTTCCGGTTTAGGGATCTCTCATACTATCACTTCCATTAAACTGGATTTTTAAAAAACCGAAAGCCTTATAAATCAAATTTTTAACGTAAACGAAAAGAAATAAGTTAACTAAAGTTATCGTTTTCAAATGAAGTAGAAAAATGACTTCGTGAACGAAAACATGAACATACATCAACTCTACTTGAACTGCAATGACAACAACAACACAGAAAACTAACTACAACTCTCCCCTCCCCCTCCCCAACTGAATACACCGTCAAGAGATTTATGCCGCAGTTGTGGAAGGGTTACTGAAAAGGGCCATAACTCTAAACCACAAGGGCTAATGACAGGTCAGAGGGAAAAAAAAACCTTAAAAAACCAACTATTTTTTTTTTAAATTAGTTAGAGTACAAAAATGTGTATGTTTCCCCGGACTAAAAGTCCAAGACTGTGTATGCAATATAAAAAGAAAACGTCAATCATTGAATACATTCTATATGTCTGAAACCATTTTTTTTCTTGTGGTAGTAATTACATCCAGACATTGATGTCAGTATTGATTTTAAAATAATGAAATGTCTACGATTATAAATGTGAAGTGTTCTGTAAAAAGTCAAACGCATTCTTAACTTAAATATCAAATGTTATTTGAACACAAGCATGAAGCGATTGTACTCAAATGTCAATGCACATTGACGACAAATGACATTTGTAATCAAACATCACAAGTGATCGATACTCAAAAAACAAATGTCATTTTTCTTAAATCAGCATTACTTTGTCGTTACAGTGTGATGAGTAGACTACACGCGTCCAATCCTCACCCTAATCCTATTCCTAATCTGAGAATAGTTCCAGCCCAGGTGTTTCAGAAATCCCAGGTGTAAGGAAACTGTTGCATAATTTCTCTTTTCTGCATTTTATATTTCTTTCACAAGACCGAGGCAAAGTTTTTTTGTGATCTTCGCTCTCAAAATTCCGAGTTGAAATACAGGGGAGAAAACCTTGTTTAAAAAAATGAATAGAATTTGTCGGGGAAAAAATTTGACGTTAAAAAATAAATTTTGGGAAGCGAACTTTTTTTTTTACATTTCGACTGTGGAAGCGATGACGGGTAAGGGGTAAGAAAAACTTCTGGAAAATTCTAAAAAAGAAACGGCGTAAAAAGTGGCCGTAAATGATGGCTGGTCGTCAATTTGCGAGGCGTAAAGTAGACGGTGTTAATTGTCGCCAGCTTATCATTCAGTCTGTGATAAGGGGGGGGGGGGGGGGGCATGTGGGGGCAGTTTCTTGAGGGTGGGGGTTTCGTGCGTAGGGGAGTTAATATGCAGGGGGTCGGGGGTTTCTGGTGACTGGGGTTAAATGTGAAGTGGGAGCTAGGGGTTAATGTGCGGGGAGGAGGGGGGGGGGGCAGATTTTCTGGTGTGGATGAGTTTTATGTGTGTGGGACATGGTAGAGGTTAAAGGTTAATTTAAGCAATTTGGAATTTTAAAGTGGGCGGATTTTTACGTGTTGGGCTAGAGGGTATACTGTGAGTTAGGGTTTTTGCGTGAGTAGAGCTTGAGGGCGAGTTTGGAGTTTAAAGATGTCAGGTTGTGCTTTGATATTGGGGGGGGGGGAGGTTAATGTTTTAGGCGGTTGTCATTGAACGTAGACTGGTCGCTCGTGTGGCGAATGTGGCGAGTTTGGTGATTTATGGCGAGTGTGGCGAATGTGGCGAATGTGGCAATGTGGATGTGGCGAATTTGGCGAGTGTGAGCTCATGTGTTGATAAGAGTTGAGGAGAAAAGCAGAAGCTCAAAGCTTAGTCTGAAATTTTTCCTTTCATTCTAATACGCTCTGTCCTGTTAATTACTGGATAATGATTTAGTTAGCTCTTTAATATCCGTCCTGTAATGAAATATAAACAGATATGCTATGCTGGTTGTATGGGTGTATCTGCGGTTCAGATATGCTGTGCTGGTTGTAAGGGTGTATCTGTGGTTCAATATCACCACACGACCCTTGCTATTAAAGTGCCTCAAAATCTCTCATATAAGCACGTTCATCTACCCCTCCCCCCCCCCCCTCCCCCACCCTCTTCCTCAACAAATTTAACACTGCGATATTTTTTGTCCCTACACGCTCTACGCGCATGGCTGCTGACCTCTAACCCAATTAATTATGAATAAACCGAGGATGACAGCCTTGATGACGTCATACTTGATTTCATTACCACGTCATTCGGTAATCTCGTCGACATTACCTTCAATTTCCACATGACCTAACGAAGGAAACTAGTACGGGTATTTTCATTGGCTGCTTGGGTGTCTATTTTTAGCCACTCATTACGCTAAAGTCTTGTGTGTATGTATCCTGTCTTTGTCTAGTCCAATTATCCAGAATTACGTTCAGATGTCACGTGATATAGACAGAAATGTCATTGGTTAATGTCATCTAGCCTGTTTATATTTCACATACACATACACACAATATTCAAAATTGTTTCATCGCTGGAGCAACTTAAATTGTGTTTTTTCGAATAACTTGAAAATATTCGACAATCGTCTGCTAATGATTTCAAAACACAAAGAAACATGAGCAAAAGCCATGATGATTATTTTAGGGTGACATACCAAAAATCCTGAAATACAAAAAAATATTTGACCAAGATATAGACCTACATAAAGTAAACATATAGAATGTTGACGTCACACATATAGGTCACATAGAGCTCAGGTTCGACCACAATGAAGGTCACGATGAGGTAAAGGTCACATCGTATTACTGGTCAGCATATCAATAAATAGCAAGAGTTTGAAAAAGTATGAATGTGTAGGCACGACACTGTGTACGTGTGTTTGTGTACATGTGTCTGTGTTTAGGTGTGTTTGTCCGTGGGTGTAATATGTCTGTGTGTTTGTGTGTCTGTGTCAGTGTGTCTGTGTGTTAGTGTTTCTGTGTGTAAATGTGTATGTGTGTATTTGTGTTTGTCTGTGTGTTTGTGTGTCTGTGTGTTAGTTTGTTAGTGTGTATGTGTGTTAGTGTGTTAGGATATATGTGTGTATTTGTGTGTATGTGTGTATTTGTGTTTGTCTGTGTGTCGGTGTGTTTGTCTGTCTGTGTGTTAGTGTGTCTGAATGTTAATATGTCTGTGTGTTAGTGTATCTTTGAGTTTGTGTGTCTGTGAGCTTGTGTGTCTGTGAGTTTGTGTGTATATGAGTATTTGTGTTTCTCTGTATGTCTGTGTGGCTGTGTGTTAGTGTGTATGTGTGTATTTGTGTTTGTTTGTGTGTCTGTGAGTTTGTGTTTTAGTGTGTCTGTGAATTTGTGTTAGTCTGTGTGTCTGTGAGTTTGTGTGTCTGTGTGTCTGTGTGTCTTGGGTACTCACGGATGCCATCGAATCTGGTTGCTATGGTGTCCAGGAACGTGTTCTGTGATGACGTGGCGTTCCTCTTCTGCGGCATACTGATGTCATGTAATCCAAGCCTGCCCCGCCCAAATTTCTGACGTAAGCGGATATCCTGTCACCTGCGCGGACTGACATGCGTGGCGAAAACTCAGTCGATCACTCCGATCGCGGTCGATCCGGCGTCAGTCGAGAAAGTTTTTATTTAATTTTAAAACTATCTTTTTTTTAGTTGCGAATGTGCTAGAGGGTATGTGATCGATTTTTTAAAGAAAATTTCACGTTTGGTCTTCTTTTAACTAGATAGTTGTAGGGTTTGGGTGTTTCAAGTCTGGAATCGACGACTTAGTTCCAGAATTCTCCATGGCCAAGTGGCCAGGTGCCCAAGTCCGAAGACAGTACGCTGTCCGGTTTGTCAGTTGCCACGTTGGCTGATGACGTAACTGATCTCCACATGGTGGTGTTTGGCGCTTGCTTACAAAAACGTTGTAGGATTGCAGACGACAGCCCAGTATCCTTTGTTGTCTGCCCCTAGTTGCGACTACTGTCTGAAGGTCTTCAAGTCTGTGAATATAAAAAAAAGATCAAACGTCAACATTACAATTTTTATATACAGGATTAGAAAATACAAACCTTTTATACTTCAGGAGGTGGGGGGGAGGTCACGGGACATTTAATATGATTGCCCATTAGTTCAGCTAGTTGGGTGTTTAGTAAGTTAGGATGATTGTTGTGGGTGTTGGAGTTATTGGGGTTGTGTGGTTTGTAGAAAATGTGTATGTGTGTGTGGGGGGGTGGAGTTTTCGGAGATGCAGCAGTTGTTGAGGGTTGTTGGAGATGTTGAGGAATTTGGGGATGTTGGGGTTGTTATGCCATAAAAAATGTATGGCTATGTTTTTCCCATGGGGGACAACTGCTGCAACCAGAGAAGTGATTTCCTATGGACACATATCAGAGCATAAGATGAAGAGACCATAGTATTGTGATCCCACTCTTAACCTTTGTCGGTATAATCCTGTGTAACGCTAGACTATACGTTTGGTACCGGCTTCTATGGACTAGCTGCAGAAAGGAAACCAGAGTTGGTAACCCTTTAGCCTAAGGGGCTCCACTCTTGTGTGATTTCGGAGTTGTCTCTCCTAGTAGAGTTGTTGTTCCTAGCTAACGTGTCTCATCTGCCGGGGGGTTCGAACTCGAGACTTCCCGGTTAACAGCCATGAGCTCTCAATCTCGACCACGTCATAACAAAAATAATGACCGGATGAAACATTAACAGATCAAGTTTGTATTTATATTTTACTGCCAGTGTCAATATTCGGGTCAAGAATAGATTAAAGAGATTAATACAAACGTCGTTGAATGTATTTAAAATAGATCAAAACAAAGCACTGTTTTAAAATCTCACCTTACATTGTTATATTTATACTGTTAGTAGTTTTCAACAGCCATATTTCTATCGGGCACTTTCAACCACACGCAATTAAAAAATAATCGACAGAAAGTGCTATCTGTAAAGTACACTGCTTTATTTCCCAGACAGCACACCCGAGTCTTGTAAGCTGATTTGTCTGTCAATACTGTGGGGTGTATTCTCCCCCCCCCCTCATCTCCTGCGGCCAGACACACGATGCTAGTTCCTTTATAACAGATCAAGTTACAATATCAATGCTAGGTCGCATAGAATTTCACACAAAGCCATATAGAATTTCACACATTATCGCAAGAGTGAGAACTAAGTTTGTTTATTTACTAGTTCGTGATTATCACAACACGCGATGCATCGATAAAGGTACTTCATCAGAATAAACTCTACATTTCAAACACTTGAAATATTGAGTGTTTTCATTTTATTTGTTTATTCTACAAAGAACGATAATAACGTTGAAACTCTTTTATTTCATGAGTTGTTTTTTCACCATTAAACTAAAGCTTTGTGTGTTTGAAATGTTTTGATTGTACCGTCATTGTGAGCGATTGTTGAGCGGTCTGGATCACGTGGTCACGTTAAAGCTTTCCTGTCACGTTATACATCGACGTGATCAATCATAATTCTCAAACAGTAAAAGTAAAATACAGGTAAGTGACCCAATAACATTGGTTTATGGTGTTCTAGGTGATACACTGGTATCATGTTCTAGGTGATACACTGGTATCATGTTCTAGGTGATACAAGGTATCGTGTTCTAGGTGATACAAGGTATCATGTTCTATGTGATACACTGGTATCATGTTCTAGGTGATACAAGGTATCATGTTCTAGGTGATACACTGGTATCATGTTCTAGGTGATACACTGGTATCATATTCTAGGTGATACACTGGTATCATGTTCTAGGTGATACACTGGTATCATGTTCTAGGTGATACACTGGTATCATGTTTTAGGTGATACACTGGTATCATGTTTTAGGTGATACACTGGTATCATGTTTTAGGTGATACACTGGTATCATGTTCTAGGTGATACACTGGTATCATGTTCTAGGTGATACAAGGTATCGTGAAGAAAACAGACCTTGGATCTAAACAACCTTTATAACGAGACAGCCTTAAATTAAGTCAGCAACATAATAGTAAAGCAAGAAGTTTTTACGACCGAACTTTCATTCAACTCCAAACACGGTTCGAGGCTCTATTCAAACCTTTATTTTACTTGTCATCGTCATCATTACACCACAAGCCCTCGACTCTAGCCGCTACCAACAAGCCCTCGACCCTAGCCGCTACCAACAAGCCCTCGACCCTAGCCGCTACCAACAAGCCCTTGACCCTAGCCGCTACCAATCAACCCTCGACCCTAGCCGCTACCAACAAGCCCTAGCCGCTGCCAACCAACCCTCGACTCTAGCCGCTACCAACCAACACTCGACCCTAGCCGCTACCAACAAGCCCTCGACCCTAGCCGCTACCAACAAGCCCTCGACCCTAGCCGCTACCAACAAGCCCTCGACCCTAGCCGCTACCAACCTCAACCCTAGCCGCTACCAACCAAGCCCTCGACCCTAGCCGCTACCAACAAGCCCTCGACCCTAGCCGCTACCAACCTCGACCCTAGCCGCTACCAACCTCAACCCTAGCCGCTACCAACAAGCCCCTAGCCGCTACCAACCAAGCCCTCGACCCTAGCCGCTACCAACAAGCCCTCGACCCTAGCCGCTACCAACCTCGACCCTAGCCGCTACCAACCTCAACCCTAGCCGCTACCAACAAGCCCCTAGCCGCTACCAACAAGCCCTCGACCCTAGCCGCTACCAACAAGCCCTCGACCCTAGCCGCTACCAACAAGCCCTCGACCCTAGCCGCTACCAACCTCGACCCTAGCCGCTACCAACCTCAACCCTAGCCGCTACCAACCAAGCCCTCGACCCTAGCCGCTACCAACAAGCCCCTAGCCGCTACCAACAAGCCTTCGACCCTAGTCGTTACCAACCAACCCTCGACCCTAGCCGCTACCAACAAGCCCTCGACCCTAGCCGCTACCAACAAGCCCCTAGCCGCTACCAACAAGCCTTCGACCCTAGTCATTACCAACCAACCCTCGACCCTAGCCGCTACCAACAAGCCCTCGACCCTAGCCGCTACCAACCTCGACCCTAGCCGCTACCAACAAGCCCTCGACCCTAGCCGCTACCAACGAGCCCTCTACCCTAGCCGCTACCAACCTCGACCCTAGCCGCTACCAACAAGCCCTCGACCCTAGCCGCTACCAACAAGCCCTAGCCGCTACCAACCTTGACCCTAGCCGCTACCAACAAGCCCTCGACCCTAGCCGCTACCAACGAGCCCTCTACCCTAGCCGCTACCAACCTCGACCCTAGCCGCTACCAACAAGCCCTTGACCCTAGCCGCTACCAACGAGCCCTCTACCCTAGCCGCTACCAACCTCGACCCTAGCCGCTACCAACAAGCCCTCGACCCTAGCCGCTACCAACAAGCCCTAGCCGCTACCAACCTTGACCCTAGCCGCTACCAACAAGCCCTCGACCCTAGCCGCTACCAACGAGCCCTCTACCCTAGCCGCTACCAACAAACCCCTAGCCGCTACCAACCAAGCCCTCGACCCTAGCCGCTACCAACAAGCCCTCGACCCTAGCCGCTACCAACCAAGCCCTCGACCCTAGCCGCTACCAACAAGCCCTCTACCCTAGCCGCTACCAACCTCAACCCTAGCCGCTACCAACAAGCCCCTAGCCGCTACCAACAAGCCCTCGACCCTAGCCGCTACCAACGAGCCCTCTACCCTAGCCGCTACCAACAAGCCCTCGACTCTAGCCGCTACCAACGAGCCCTCTAGCCGCTACCAACAAACCCTCGACCCTAGCCGCTACCAACCAAGCCCTCGACCCTAGCCGCTACCAACGAGCCCTCTACCCTAGCCGCTACCAACCAAGCCCTCGACCCTAGCCGCTACCAACCAAGCCCCTAGCCGCTACCAACGAGCCCTCTACCCTAGCCGCTACCAACCAAGCCCTCAACCCTAGCCGCTACCAACAAGCCCCTAGCCGCTACCAACCAAGCCCTCGACCCTAGCCGCTACCAACGAGCCCTCTACCCTAGCCGCTACCAACCAAGCCCTCGACCCTAGCCGCTACCAACCAAGCCCTCGACCCTAGCCGCTACCAACGAGCCCTCTACCCTAGCCGCTACCAACCAAGCCCTCGACCCTAGCCGCTACCAACAAGCCCTCGACCCTAGCCGCTACCAACAAACCCTCGACCCTAGCCGCTACCAACGAGCCCTCGACTCTAGCCGCTACCAACGAGCCCTCTACTCTAGCCGCTACCAACAAACCCTCGACCCTAGCCGCTACCAACAAACCCTCGACCCTAGCCGCTACCAACAAGCCCTCGACCCTAGCCGCTACCAACAAACCCTCGACCCTAGCCGCTACCAACAAACCCTCGACCCTAGCCGCTACCAACAAGCCCTCGACCCTAGCCGCTACCAAGAAGCCCTAGCCGCTACCAACCAAGCCCTCGACCCTAGCCGCTACCAACAAGCCCTCAACCCTAGCCGCTACCAACAAGCCCCTAGCCGCTACCAACCAAGCCCTCAACCCTAGCCGCTACCAACAAGCCCTAGACCCTAGCCGCTACCAACCAAGCCCTCAACCCTAGCCGCTACCAAC